TATTAGAATTTTTAAAAAAGAAACCCAAAAATTTCCCCTCCCCAGCTCATCTCCCTTCCCTACTCCATTCTTCCATGACATTTCCATGGGCAAATGGACGGCTACCATAGTCGACTAAACAGTAGATTATCATGATTGATAAAACAATTTAAGGGATTGAGTATTTGGGTTAGGGATTAAGGATTTAAATATATGGATTTGAGAATTTTAGGTTTTGAGATGATAGTAAGGGTTTTGACCCGTTATTGGTTTGTTGGCGATGTATGGGTGACCAGTCGCCGGTGAATGGGTGGCCGGAGATGACCAATGATTGGAGTAAATGTGACTAGAATAAGAGAGTTTAAGAGTTTGAGTTTTTTTGGTATTTTATAAAAATATGGGATTTTTCTAAAAAACAATTAAGTGTTTTCTTAAAATAAATTTTTAAAACTACCAGATTATGGCATATGTCACTTAAAGGATGAGATTAACGCCATTGACGGCCCGAACACCTAAAGTGTTAACTTTTGTAATGTTTGACATCTAGATGAGTCAAAAAATAGTTTAAACACCTATTTAAAAAAGGTATAATTTGAGCACTTATTTTGGTATTAAACTGTAAAAAAGTTATTTCATCAAAAATAGAAACTTTATGCATTTAATTTTTTTTAATGATATTTAAGTTTTTTATTATTTCTCTTTGTTGGGATTTTCATAAGCTCGAATCGACAACCGAAATGGTTTGCAAAGAGGGGTCGGAATAGTTTTGTGTTTAGGGAGTAAGGAGATTGAAAGATAGAGAATTGCATGGCGATTTATAGTGGTTCGACTTTCTCAACCAAAGTCTACGTCCACTACCTTAGCTCCTCACCAAGGATTTTCCAACAAATTCACTAATTTGTTCTTTCTTTTGAGGACAAAGAGTAACCTTACAAACTCCCTAGTTTTTCCGGGCTAAACTAGAACCTTTCCCTAGCTTTTACATGGGATTAGCTAGAACCTTTCCCCTTTACAAAAGGATAAAAGAAGTAAACAAATAAACCTCTCAAAGGTTGGCGTTTACAAGATTTAGCTCACAAGAACAAAATATTTACAAGAAAAAGATGAAATAAGAATGAAAAACTATTCTCTTGTGTTTGATTGCTTGGATAGTTGTTCTCTGACTTCTTCAAGTGTCCTTAGCTTATATTTATAACTTGGAATGTGTTTGAAGTCGTATATAGCCGTTGGGGATGTTTTGGAGCCGTTTGGAGATAAGAATCAATTAATAAAACTGCTTGGAGCGTGGGGGGAATCGGTACCCCCTTTGGGGGGAATCGGTTCCCTCTGGACAATCTATAATTTTTGGCTTTGAAACGGCTCGAAATACTTCGTAAAATTGTTTTGAAATTATTTTAAGATTAAAACTTAATTTTGCACTTAAGTAATGATTAAAAATGACATTTGAAAGATTTAGAGTAATATTTTGATATTCGAATAATTATATCGAATATACTTAGAAATATTTTTGGAAAATCTTAAAATTCATTTAACTTAATTTGTTATATCGAAATATCTAAATGTTTTCAACAATCTCCCCCTTTTTGATATAACAAAACATTTTAGTAATTTTAAGATTTTGAAATCAAGTTTGAAATTACTCCCCCTTACTCTAACACTTCTCCCCTTTAAAACACTTCTCCCCCTTTTTGTTAAATAAAAAATAATTCAATCTTTGAAGTTCAAAATAACTTTGGAGAGTAAGTAGTAAATTTGACATTTTAAAAATCATTTGAAAAATCAAAGCTCCCCCTCAATAAATGCATTCCAAATAAAACTATGCTTTTAGGATCTTGACACTTAAACAAAATTGAATTTCAACAAAGAATAACAAACATGTTAGTAGAACATGAAATTCAATGTATCCAAGTCAAAAATACTTTATGCAATACCAATTGTTGAATTTAAGATCATATGCATGCAAGAAAAGGGAAAATAGCAGTTTTAAACCCTATATGTGACCAAAATGCAAAAGCACGCTAAAGTTAGAGGGACTAAAACATGAATAACCCAAAAAATTACAAAGCACACAAGAAAAAGCCAAAATAATAGTTTTGGTCCCTACAAGTGACCAAACTATAAAAATGCTAAACCTAGTGGGACCTAAGCATGATTTTACCCTAAATTAGTCCTATAAATATTACTTTTCCTTTTTTTTCATTTTAAGCTTAAACCGAAAAAATCTAAATGCTCTCCCATTTCTCTCGCCCGATCTACTATCGGCCGCCTCGAATCCGGTCGTCGTTCGACCGCCACATGTGGTGGTCGAAACCCCAAAGTAAACAAGAACACCTAAAAATCGTAGATCTACTAGCCTATGACCTCGTATAGGGATTAAAACCACCAAAAACGTCCATAAACTACCCAAAACCAATCTAAACTCCTCGACTTCCCTGAACTCCGACGACACCTATTCGACTAAGGTAAACCTAGATCTATTTCTACTTTTATTTTTTTAGTGTTTTTACTATAAAATGACCTGGTTTTGTGTTATTTAGCCTAGAAAGATTTCATTTTTTCACTGCTATTGGGAATAAAAAGAGCTTCCACTTTGTTATTACCCATTTTTTAAAAAATGAAACTAAAAAAAATTGATCATTCGAAAACTAAAAAACCTTTTTTTATTTACAGAGGTTCGAAATTATCAACAGAGAAAAACAAAAAAAAATCTACTTAATATAATTTATTTTAAATTGCTTATTATGTCACCCATTATTATTTAGTTTTTATTTTAGTCACTTAACTATTATTTATTTTATATTACACTTAATATAATCATTTATTGTAACCATTAACCAATATAATCGTTACATTTAATAGGTTAATTAACCAAACTATTAATACTAAACAGTTTCGGTTAATCGAACCATTAAAAATTATGGTTAACAGTTAAGGTTACGATTACGAATTTTGATAAACGGTTAACCGTTAATAAATTAAATTTTATAATTATATTTCTAATTTATTATTTTTTGCACAAATAACTTAATATAAATTTTATATTATTTATAATCTATATATATTTTTAATAAAATTTATATACAAATAACTTAATATATATATATATATATATATATATATATTTCTTTGAAAATATAGAAACATACTTACACCAATATAATTACGTGTTTATTGTTAGGTAATTAGATATTCAAAGATGTATATACTTACTGATAACTCTCCAAAAGAGTTATCTTTAAAAGCACTTTTAGCCTAAGTTTAGTTTGATCTTAAGCATTGTTAGGAGTATTTTAGGATTAATTTTAATTAGTTTTTATGATTTTTCACGTTTATATATGGTGGGCTGCTTAGGGCTAAAACTGAAATTTAATGCTGAAAATATGCAATGACACTGTAGCATTGCAGGAAATACTATGTACCATTCGATTGTAGTTACTGATGATGCTATGGCATTCCGATGCTATGGCATTCCAATTGTATGAAGCATCCCAATGTTGTAGAGCAATCGATGAATCAACTGAAAGCTGTGGAATTCTCTAGAATGGGACAACTGTCCTGGGTAGTTGTCAAATGGATGGATCCTATCTAAATCGTGACAGTAAACCATTGGAGGATCATATTTCCTATTCACCTATAAATATGGTACTTGCCTTCTAATTTGGACAGACCAAATACACACAAAATTTCGAGAGAAAAATTCACCACCGTTTTCTTCACCCGATGGAAGCCTAAGCCCTTTGCCAGGGATTGCTACAGCAGAAAGAAAGATCACCAAGTATCATCTGTCATCAGTAGATCACTGTTCGAGCATTCCATCGAGAGAAGGGGGTGTTTGAATATACTTAAATTTGTATTGGATGATATTTTGGATTTATGGTTTTACTCTACTATGATTGTTTTTTTCTATGAGCTTGGATGATTAGATTATGAGTATAAATATTTGTAATCAATGAATGGTTATTTTAAATGTTTACATAAATAGATTTGTTTAACTTGCCATCTACTTTTGATAGGCTGGTGGATGTTGAGTAGTATTGTGCATACTGAAAAATAGGCAACCTAGTATTAGCCTTGTTAAAATGTTGGATCTTTGATTTATGAAAGCTTTTAAAGTAATTCAACAGGCTTTAATCATTGCTAATAGCATAGAAATCATATTCATTGTTTGTTTGAAACTTGAATCCCTTAATACTTCCAATTTCCATTCGATTGTTGACTTGTCGCTCTCTGTAATGTTGTAGCATGAACTGGTGTTTTACATTTTGATTTTATTTTCTCGTCTTAAAGCAATCAATCAACATTTATCTTTTTTTAAACTCTATTGAAAACCATATGCTCTCTGTGGGATCGATACTCGTAACTTAATCGTTGCCACTTTTATTACTTGATTTGTGACACCTGCACTTGCGTTATTACTATAGCATTTTACACAACATCAAGTTTTTGACACTATTTCCGAGGAGCATCGATTTGATTTAGAGTGTTATTTTCTTTTGATCCCAAGATAGAATGTGCTTTTCATCAACGTCGAAGAGAAGTTGCACTTAATCGAGCAAACATGAATGTTGGGAATAATAAAAACGCTTTACCTCTGAATGCCACATGAGGAGAATGAAAAATTTTCAGCTAGGCAACCAAATCAATATTCGATGACCGAAATCACCCGTTTCTCGATCACGTGGTACCAATTTTGGACGATTTGCATCTGGGTACTACGAGGCCAATTATCAATGCTGCGAACTTTGAATTAAAGCCTGTCATATTTCAGATGCTGCAATTTATGGGACATTATGGAGGAAGTGTTGCTGAATATCCTAGATCCCATTTAAGAGCTTTTATGGAAGTTTGCGATTTGTTTATACAACAAGGAGTTTCGAAGAAGGCTCTGAAGCTAAAAGTATTTCCCTACTCGCTGCATGACAAAGCACGAGGCTGGTTGAGTTCACTGTCGCCTGGGGCTATAACATCATGGAATAAATTAGCCCAGAAATTCTTGTTGTGTTTCAACCCACCGAACATGAATGCTAAGCTGTAAAATGATCTGAATTCATTCAGGAAAAAGGAGGATGAAAATTTGTATGAGGCTTGGGAGAGATTCAAAGAGTCTCCGAGGAAATGTCCTCTGCATGGATTTTCGAATTGGACTCAAATGGAGATGTTCTACAATGGTTTAAACATACACACTCGTATGGTTGTCGATGCTTCAGCAAATGAAACTTTTCTAGATAAATCATACAATGAAATATTAGAAAAGATTTTAACTAATGATTTCTAATATCTGAATACGAGAAATATGTTTGGTCGTCATAATGCTGCAGTAATCGATTCTGAAACTTTCAACTCTATGACATCATAGATCTCATCCTTGACAGAAATGGTAAAGAAGTTGCATTAACGAAGAGGAATACATGAAGTTAAAGCTACATCTCTCATTAATTAGATCTATTGTGGTGAAGAACCTAACTTTGATGAATGCCCTCAAAATCCATAAACTATTTACTATGTGAGGAATTATCAAAGAAATGACAATACTTTTGGCAATATGTACAATTCAAATTTTAGAAATTATCCAAATCTCTCATGGAAAAATCAGAATGTTGCCAACCCACAACATTTAGCAATAACAATATCAACAATATCAGTAGTATCAGCCTTATAATCAACAAAACCTAATGTCACAACAACAAACACATCATCATATAGGTAAGCCACAACAATGACAAAATTATCACGATAAATCTTCAACTCAAACTTCTTATTTTTCATCTCTTAAAGCTTTAATGAAAGAATATATGGCTAGTCAATCTACTTCATTAAGAGCTTTAAAAAATCAGGTTGGTCAACTAGCAAATGCCTTGAGTAATAGACAACAAGGAACGTTTCCCAGCTACAATGGAAATCCGAAGAACAATGGGAATGAACATTGCAAAGCCGTCACCACAAGAAGTGGAATAAGGATTGGAGAGCCAGTAGAAGAACCTAGAAAAAAAGATGAGAATGCTCCAAAGCATAGTAAAGGAAAAAACAAAGAAGTTGAGCCTGAGCCATCTACTGGTCGCTCACAGTATCAAATGCAGGCCAGTGTAGTAATTCAGAGCCATTACCGATAGCGACACCTGCTAAGTTCGATACTTTGCCAATTTTAATACTGCAACCACAATAACAAAAATTACCTCATCCTTTTCCACAAAGCTTTAAAAAGACAAAGGAGGAACATAAATACAAAGCCTTCATTGATGTACTTCGCCAACTTACCATCAATATTCCATTGATTGAGGTATTATAACAAAGCCTGAACTACATCAAATTTATGAAAGAAGTGATTTTGAAGAAGCGACGACTGGGTGAATATGAAACTGTCGCTCTAACTGAAGGCTACATACTACAAGTTAATTGCCACCGAAACTTAAAGATCCAGGGAGTTTCACTATTCACTGTAATATTGGTGATACATTTGTAGGAAAAGCTTTATGTGATTTAGGTTATAGCATAAATCTAATGCCTTTATCCATTTTTAGGAAATTTAGGAGCGGTGAAGCAAGGCTAACTACTGTCACGCTGCAGCTTACTGATCGCTCCACTGTGTAACCTAGTGGCATTGTGGAAAATATGCTTGTGTGAATAGATAAGTTTATTTTTCCATCAACTTTATCATTTTGGATTGTGAAGTGGATAAGGAAGTTTCCATCATTTTTAGACTCCCATTCCTTGCTACAATTCGAGCATTAATCGATGTTGAAAAGTTAAAATTAACTATGCATTTAAATTATGAGCATATTACCTTTAATGTGTTAAATAATGTATCTTACTTGAGTAATAATGATGAATGCTTTTCACTTTATGTGAATGATAGTTTTGCTCGAGAGTATATTGATGAATGCTATAACACTGAAGAAGTAATTGAGGAGACTGCAGACAATTAATGCTTCAATAATTATCTGCAGAAGTATGAATCTCTGGCTATGCCTTAGTGTGTTCCAATTATACCAAAGCCCTCTATCGAAGAGCCTCCAAAGATGGAATTGAAACTGTTGCCAGAGCAATTGGAGTATGCTTATCTTGGAGATAATGAGACTCTTTTAGTCATTGTTACTATGTAGTTGACAGTAGCACTGAAGGAATAATTGATTGTTGTGTTGTAGCAACATAAGAAAGCCATCACTTGGAGCATTGCTGACATAAAGGGCATTAATCCTTCACTTTGTATGCATAAGATTTTGTTAGAAGACCATGATAGTAGCTTAATTGAACATCATCACCGATTGAATCTAATCATGAAGGAGGTAGTTTGAAAGGAGATCATTAAATGGTTGGATGTTGGAACCATTTACCCAATTTCGGACAGCAAGTGGGTCAGCCCTATGTAGTGTGTTCCAAAGAAGGGCAACATTACTATGGTGACCAATGAAAAAATTAGTTAGTGATGACAAGAACCACTAGTGGCTGAAGGATATGTATGGATTATAAGAAGCTCAATAAAGCTACAAGGAAAGATCACTTCCCATTACCATTCATATATCAAATGTTGGACCACCTTACTGGTAATTCTTTCTGCTATTTCTTGTATGGGTATAATGGATACAGTCAGATTTCTATTACACCAGAAGCTAAGAAGAAAACAATGTTCACATGCCCTTACTACACTTTTGCTTTTAGACGGATGTCGTTCGGCCTATGCAATACTCCAGCAACATTCCAGTACTGCATGATGATTATCTTCTCTGATATGATTGAGGACTATTTGGAAGTTTTCATGGACAACTTTTCAGTGTTTGAACAAGATTTTGAGAGCTTCTTGAACAACTTGGATACTATTTTGCAAAGGTGTGAGAAAACCAATTTAGTTTTTGAATTGGGAAAAATGCCATTTCATGGTAAAAGAAGGAATAGAGTTGGGGCATCAAATCTCTTGCCGCGATATTGAAGTGGGTAAGGCCAAAATGGAGGTTAATGAGAAATTGCCCCCACCAATAAATGTGAAGGATGTACGAAGCTTCCTTGGTCATGCGAGCTTTTATAGAAAGTTTATTAAAGATTTCTCACAAATTACTAAGCCTTTATGTTCATTACTGAAGAAAAATTGAAAGTTTGTCGTTGATGCTAAAGTGTTTAAATCATTTGAGACACTCAAGAAGAAATTGTTCAATTCCCCTATTATAATAGCACCAGACTCAAAACTTCCCTTTTAATTTATGTGCGATGCCAGTGACTTCGTTGTAGGAGCAGTGCTAGGGTAATACAAGGATAAAATATTTCATGTTATACATTATGTGAGTCGAATGTTGAACAGCTCTCAGATTAATTACACCATAACTAAAAAAGAGTTGCTAAATGTGGTATTTTCCTTTGACAAATTTTGCTCATATCTAGTGGGAACAATAATAATTGTTTATATTGACCACTCCGCTGTGAAGCAACTATTTGTGAAAAAGGATACAAAGCCTAGGTTGATTCATTAGGTATTGTTGCTACTAGAATTTGGTATTGAGATTTGGGATAAGAAGGTATCTAAAAATGAAGTGGCTGATCACTTTTCTAGATTATAATCCAGTAGCGAAGATGGATGTCGTATAGCGATTCCAGACACCTTCGCTGATGAATGACTGTTAGTTGCTACATCTTACCATGGTATGCCAATTTTGCAAATTATTTAGTTAATAGAACGATGCCACCAGATCTTAATTATCAAGGCCGAAAGAAATTTCTAAGTGATGTGAAGCAATATCATTGGGAAAGGTTGTTTCTATTTAAACAATGTAATGATCAACTTATGTGACGATGTATTCCCGAGTGTGAGCAGTAAAGCATTCTGCAGCATTGCCACAGTGCACCATATGGAGAACATTTTGGTGGTATGTGCACAACAACGAATGTACTTTAGTATGGATATTATTGACCATCGTTGTTCAGTGACGCCAATAACTTTGTGAAACATTGTGATCACTGCTAGAAAACATGTAACATATCTCGACGAAATGAAATGCCTATGCAACCTATCTTGGAAATTGAACTGTTTGTTGTATGGAGATTAGATTTCATGGGTCCATTCCCATCTTCCTATGATAACCTTTTCATTCTATTTGTTGTAGACTATGTTTCCTAATGGTTGGAAGATGTAGCATTGCCGAACATCAATGATAATGCTGTTTTGAAATTTTTGCATAAGAATATATTCACTCTTTTTGGGACACCCTGTGCTTTTATCAATGATGAAGGATATCATTTTATTGGTCATCAAGTTTCTAGAGCATTGAACAAATATGGTGTTAAGTATAAGATCGCTACAGTATACCATGCATAATCTAATGGCCAAACCGAGGTATCTAACTGAGAGATCAAATAAATTCTTGAGAAGGTTGTGAATCCTTCTAGAAAAGATTGGTCACAACACCTTGAAGAAGCTTTATGGGCCTATAGAATTGCATAAAAGACTCCACTAAAGATGTCCCCTTATCGTATTGTCTATGCAAAGTTTTCCATCTACCCATAGAGTTGGAGCATAAGGTAAGGTGGGCGTTAAAGTAGCTGAACTTTGATCTCGATGTTGCAGGGAAACAACGAATGCTGAAAATTAATGAATTAGAGGAGCTTCGCAACAATGCTTATGAGAGCTCACGTATTTACAAGGATAAGAGTAAGAAGTGGCATGATCAACATATTCTACCAAGGGAATTCCATGTTGGACAAAAAGTCTTGTTATTCAACTCGTGATTAAAATTATTCCCTGGAAAGCTATGATCATGCTGGTCAGGCCCCTTTGAAATTCTTGAAGTATTTCCTCATGGAGATATTTTGCTGAAGAACTTAGTGGATAGAAGCACGTTTAAAGTAAATGGGCAACGCTTAAAGAATTACAGCCAGCCGCACAACCTTCACATTGTTTCAATCAAACTAAGCGATCATTATCTTCCTTAAAACTTTTTGCACTTTTAAATAAGTCAAATTCTTTAACAAATTATATTTTGGAGTTTTTATATTTTTATCTTTCATTTTCTTTGTACATGTTTTATTTCATTCACTCTCTATCATTTGGTCATTACTGCACAACTTTACCCAGTTTTTCATAGTGTATTGGGCTTCTGTTGCTGCATGGATGCAACATCTAAATCTCCAACTTCTTGTACTGCTAAGGA